ATATATTAGCCGCAGTTATAAGTCTATGCTAAGTTAGCTTGCGAAAGAACTTTTTCATGTCTGAGACGACTGAAAACCTTTCTGAGGAATCGCATGACAAATGATCGTTTAAATAATTTAGCTTCAATGAGCATAAAAAAAAAAATTCTAAAAACTTAGATCTAGATATTTTTGTACAATTGTTTTCGGAAAATCATAAAAACAGAAAAATTATTTTATATTGCACTGTTTAATATTTATATAAGTATAAGTGTATTATTAATATTTTCTACTAGTATGTGTTTTTTTTTTTTTTAATAAATTTGAGTTTCTTTAAAAATTATATTAATTTAAAAATCGATGATCATTTATCTCTATTATTTTTGATAAGTATTCAAATATGAATTAATTTTTGAAGTTAAACAATTGAAGCAGCTTATTATTTTAAATATGTATGTTGATTTATTTTTCATAGCATGAAAAATGTATCCCATAAGTGAAGATGTAGGTAATTCTATATTTATTTATTTTTTTTTGTTACAGGTACTTTCTATTTTTGTAATTCTTAAATAAGTATTAGGTATAACTTGTTGTGAAAAAATAATTTTAACCAATTACCAACTAAAGGTAAATTATTTAAATTAATAAGATTCTTTGTATTGCATACCCCTTACAAGAATTTCATAAAGAAAAATTTTGGAAAGTAATAAAAGGGCCAAACATTATTGGCCCCCCTAGTAGAAATTTTCTGGCTACGTGCCTGCCTAGGTTAGAGGGTTTGATCTTTTAACTTTCAAATTATTATTTTTCTTGTTGCATTATAAGTGGCCCGGAAGTTCATGCATTTGCATGGTTTTTTTGAACCATTAGATTTGTTGCTAAGTGAGCTAGAAATGCATTCCAAAACGCTTCGAAAAACATATCAAAAGTTTATAGTGCATATTTTTGCATATTTAGCGGTTTTTAAATTTTAGAGCATATTTCTTAATTTTACAATTTTTTAGAGCATATTTTAGAATTTATGAAGATAAAGTATGAAAATTCGTAAATAAAAAATAAATACATTTATATTGAGAGAACTTACTAGGTATTCTTATATTGTATTTTTAAAATTTTTAAAACAATATTTTTCGCCAATGGTTAATATAATATATTAATATATATATATATTTATTAATTTTAATTACAGCTAGCTTTATCTTATCTTTATTTTATTAGGTACGTCGATCGACTGTACAGAATCGATGTCGGCGTTTAACGTGTTTAATTTGCTCAATATAATATTTAATTAAGATAAGTAAAGTTATCGAATATGTTGGAAGATAACAAGCAGCCGTTTATATTTGAGAATTTATCAAATCGTTGATTGTAAATTGTAATGTTTAAAAATGTATATTAATTAATTAAATAATGTTTTTGATCACAAGTCAAAGAAATTGAAATAAAAATGTTTTTTTCCTAATATTTATAAATTAAAAAAAAAATATTTAAGCATATTTAAGCGCATAAGTGCATACATATTTCGGTAGTCTTAAGTGCATATAATATATTTCCGAGTCCTAATTATAAGGTATAGAATACAATATATTAAGTAGGTACCTTGTACCTAGTTGTAATATTACTAAGTATGCTACATAGCAAGGCTGGGCAATTATTTTTAACGTGTAATGTAGGTAAGTTAATTTTGAAAAAGGTGGGAAGGTGGTAGTGATTCTGATTTACAGTATTAATATGTATCAACAAGTGGGTCACTGTTATGGATGGTATTCTATTTGAATTCAATGATTAATAATTATCATTGTATACCTATGACGATATTACCTACTATAAGTATATTTGAATATTTGATGATATTATCTATACTATAAATCTCTATCAATAAATAGCAAGGACAATCTTTAAAAATAGTTGGTCTTAACCTTTCAAACCCCTGCTCTTCTCAGGGCCAATTTTACGTTTGCCTGTTCTCGAGTTGGTACAGCACAATCTTTGTACATACATGCTTCTAACAACGAAACACAAAACATAGTTTATCCCACTGTTTTAGAAAATTAATATAACACCATTAACAATCTCATATTATCAATAATTTTTTGTTATGAATTTTGTTATGTTAACGAGTGCAATATTGGAACCAATTTAACGTTTACATTAATTTCCATAAATACATTCCTCGGGGCCATTGACCATTGTGAAGCAGTATCGTCGAGTAGATAATATTACATTATAAGATGTTTTTTGAAATTAGTTCTAGACGTAATCGTCAATTCATTAATTATCATTCAATAAATAGTTATAATATTATGCACTCATTTTCAAAATCACTAGTAAACTATAACTCCTTTATCCCAAATATTTTCATCCATAAATACAACATTAACTATTATAATTAATTCGCTGTTATTGCCAAGACTTGATCGATAATGTCAAAATAAAGAGTATTTACTAGAATGAGGTGTCTAAAAATAAAATACAATCATACAAAATAAAAAATAACAGAAAAAGTTTTCAGTTTCAAAAATATCGGGATAATTTATTATTCGTGTATTAAATTAAAAAAATGCCAACGGCACGTAGTGTTCCCAAGCGGTCACCCATTCAAGTACTAACTACGCCCGACGTAGCTTAACTTCAGTGATCGGACGAGAACTGGTGTGTTCAACGTGGTATGGTCGTTGACGAATAACTTTAGTTTTCCAAGTATATATAGGTTAGGTTAATTCAATAATAAAATATGATAGTCACAGAATTAATGACAAAAGTATTAATTCGATGCTGTAAACATTTATAATAGTTTTAAGTTCAAAATCGGTATTTAAATACGTCTGACAACCATAGGTACAAGTTCTCACCTCATCTTTTTTCTCATATATTTATATATATCTCTGATCTCTCATATATTTTCTCTTATATTCTTCCCCATTATTTGAGTTACATGATGCCATTGAGTAAAATTTTATTTCTGAAGTAAATGATTAACATGTCTTACAATTTTGTTAAATATTTCTCAAATAAAAATATATTAGGTTAATTTAAAATATAATACATTAACATTGTATTGTTATATTTAAAAAATTTTTTTATATGTTCAAAAGAACAACATAGGTAATTTAATACATAATACTCTACATACATAAATAGTACCTATGTGTTGAAATTGAAGATAGGATGACTTTGGTATTAATGTAAATAAGTAACACAACTTTATAGTTATGTATAAGTATAGTATAAATATTAAATATAACGTTCAACTGGACTGTATCAGTGACTATACACATTGTATGATGGTGTATGTGCAAGTGGCTTTTACATGCATTGAAAGGCCCTATATACAAATTATGTACAATCGAGGTCATCTCTTATATCCGTATATAATAGCGAAAGTGATGAGTAAAAGTATTGACCAATTTTCGGATAACTGCATAAGTATTAGAAACGAAAATGTACACTAGTGTATAAACATAGTTTGAATACTAATATCAATTGTATATTTCAACATTCATGATTACAGGCTACAGCACCATAAAACAATTTTGAATATAAGTCAATGGAATGGCCAATATATACATTCTCACAGTGTCGCAAATAGGGGGGGGGCTTGCCCCCTTCCACCAAAATCACTCAAAGCCCTCTTAAAAATAATTATATATTAGTTTATTAAAAAAATGTTTCCTATTTTCACCACTACGTTCTCGAATATACTTGACATTTATACCAGTTGTCGGAGCACTTTGTTAGTAAATTCGATTATTGGTGTCCTTCTCAAGCACAACAGTGGGAACTCAAAGTTTCAATATTTTAATCACATATTATACACAATGATTATTTAAGCTTATACCGTTCGTTATCTAAGTCATATGTTTGTAACAATTTATTCATAATCAACTAGCCCACTAGCCCTTATGTATGCTCTACAGCTATGTTTTTAAACATTTTTGTATAATGCCATGATAGTAACCAACTATAAAGCCCTCTTCACAAGATAATAGTCATGGTACTATATCATGCATACTTGCTACTCTAGTATATTGCGTGTAACCTAGTATACTAGTGGCTGTACTTAATTGTATTCATACCATAATGTACTATGCACTGTAAAATATTCTTCTTCCAGGTCAAACATAAAAAAAAGGTAGTATAAATGTACAATTAGTAATTAGATAGTTTAATTTGTTAACTGTTTGATAATTATGTTATTTATGTATAGAAAGTTTCAATAAGTCAATTTTTTTTTTTATATAAAAATTGAAATTTTACTTTTAGTAAAGTTTTTGTTTATTAGTGAAGTTAGATAAAAATTGCTTCTTATCAAATATGATAACCAATAGATGGCAGCACATAATATAGTAGTGAGTACCAACAATATCAACAGGGCTTTAAGCTTTCAATAATAATATTTGTTGAAGACCGATACAGTATAAATATAAAATACATTAATTGAGTATTAAGGTCTTGGTACATAAAAAGATAATATTAGGACATAACGAGAAAAAACATCAATATTGACGTATTTACTCTTCAATGTGTTAATATTATAAGAACATAATTATATGCTTGTGACCAATCTAGTTATACTATAATAGGTATAATGATATAATTTTATCATATAGAATACTTGTGAAACATTAAAATAATTTTGCAAATCCATAGGTTATGAAATACTACTACTACTATACAGCCTACAATTTTTAAACAATTTAATATTTACGTTTATCTTATGGCAAAAATCTGATAGTAATAAACTTAAACAAAGAAGATAAAATATTAAATCAAATTATAAATTGCTCGAATAATATAGTTTATTTTAACAAATATATTTTGTATAAAAAGATAAATATATACAAACATATGATGCATATTTATAAATATTAAAATTTAATACTTAAAAAATAGTATTAATATTTGCATATAAAATTGAAAATTAATGAATTTATAGGAAAAAAATAATTTTAAAACAGTCTTATATTGACATTCAGAATGTGTTTGTTTGAAATTAGCTTTTAAGCAATAAGTCTTTGGATTCAACAATGACCACGGTCTTCAACTCGCTTTCTCGGTGCAGCCTTGATAATGCAATCCACACGAAGAATCATTTCAGCAGCTTCTGCAGCAGATACAAGTACTTGTCTCTTAACAACAAAAGATTCAGTGATTCCAGTTGCATGCATACATCCCAAACAACCATTTTCCATATCTTCAATAAAAAATTAATATCATAAATAAAACATTGTATAATAAAATTTACTATATGCTTACTGACCTAAACCAGTAGTATTTTTGCCTAGGGCATGAGCAGCTCTTAATCCACTTATCAATTCAGCTGAATCCAAACCAGCATTGTCAGCTATAGTTGTGGGAAGAGATTGTAGTGCTTTAGAAAATGCTTCCATGGCTACAGCTTCTTTGCCTGGCGTTTTTGCGGCTTCAGCACTTACAGCGTTTGCCATCAACATTTCACTACAGCCACCACCATAGACAATAGTTGGCTCACGGACAGTAGATGATAAAACACATAAGGCGTCATGTATAGAACGATCAGCTTCGTCAATAATCTGTTCAGTCGCTCCACGAATGACAATAGTACAAGCTTCGCCAAGAGCCACACCAGAAAAACGCAATAAAGTGCTTTCACCAATCATTATTTCTTCAATAAGTTTGCATGTTCCCAACTTGGCTTTCGCAGGTGAATCAAAGGTCGATAAAATTTCACCACCAGTGACTAATGCTAGACGTTCAATGCCATCAAAATCAGCATGTTCAATAGCCATTATACCAGCATCAGCAAAAAGTTGTTCTGGATAATTGTAGATCAATTGCCTGAAATGGTAAAATATTATTTTAATAGTTTTAGTCATGACCTAAGGTCTATTTTTAGTCATGCACTTTTGCTACTATGATATATTTTTGGGTAGGCAAAATTATAGTTTTGCTACCACAAAATTATATTAGATTATATATTAGTCAAGTATTAACAGAAATAATTTGTTTTTATAGTTGTAATTTATAGTAAAAATATCATTGAATATTAAAATTACGTATACTATATTCTAAAATCGAGGGGTAAAAAATAAATATATTTTGTGATATTGTGATTATGTGTAAATTATTTTTGTCTGCATGAACTGATTGTTTCTTCAAAATTTCTTTAAGAGGATATTAATCACACTATTTGTTTTCTCTGTCTAACACACATGCTACATAATGATATTATCAGATATACTACAGAAGAACCAACCCTATGTTGTTACTTTTAGTATTAGAGTGAATTCACCTATTATCAAACCTTGCTATGTTGGTTTTTTAAGATATAGTAGTTTTTATGTAAGTTATGCGTGGGTAAAATATTACTATTTAAAAATTCTTATGAATTTCATAAAAATAGAAATATAGTAAAAACGCAAATGCAGCGTTAATGTTCTTAACTTAAAATGTAATAATATGTGAATTCACTTTAATATTAGTAGTATAAGTAACAATATAGGGTTGGTTCTGGTAAACGTAAAATTGCTATGTTGTGTGTGGGTCAGAGAGAGACCACAAATAGTATGCGATATCCTTGCCGTAAATGGTGTAGTACTGTAGTCTAAATTAAAACTTATTACAACAGACATCTAGCAACACTATGCAGGCTGAAAATTAATAGGTTCTATATTACAATAATATTATTTATTATCTAAATTGTTCAGGAGGGCAATTCTTAACTTTGATAACAAATCTTAAAAAAAATTCGCTGCTCAAGTTATTTAATATATTTCATTTCCTAAGACAAGATAATATATTTCATTTCCCCAGACTATTTTTCTACAAAATCAGAATCTCCTGGCAACGATGCATTAATAATTAAGTACTGTTTATTTAACAGACAAATTTTGTGCTGACAATAAATATCGAATTTGTTTGAAATAAGTATTGAAAATGTACTAAGTTTTATTTGTTAACCCTTTGAAGCATGGGGGTATTTATTTTATACCACTTTTAGAAAAAATTATCCTACTCTTGCACGGTGGTATAAATTTACCACAGATATATAAAAATACTAGATAGACGACTCCCTATTCCTACCATGTAATAATTATGAAGCCAACAAAATGGCCGAAATACTCTTATCTAAGAGGTGAATGTTTACAAAATATAAATTATGATAAACTGTGATAATTTTATGGCGGGAATCAAAAACTATTAAATATGTATTACAAATTACAATATCATTACAATATCATACACTTACTAGTTACAACTTACAACACGGACTATGATGTACTTATATTTTTTATTTTATAGTATGTCTTAGTCCTTGACTTAAAATTAAGATTAAAAGTATAATTTATTGCAAAAAACGAGAAATACAATATAGATATAATAAACAAGTTTCAAGCTCGTCCAATAAGCACATGCTTGAATTCTAATGATCTGAGTTCATATTAAAAATGAACTAAAATGAAAATAAATTTAACTTTATGTTATGTCATATTACAACAAAATAAAGTAAAACAAAAAAGATTTAATTTTATATTAAATATAAGAGAAAATATTATTAATATATATCTTATACTTGGTGAAATTACAAAAATTGGTTAAATTAATAATATATTTATGTAATAACAAGCCTCTTCTAATTATTAGACCTTGAGTTCCAAAATAAATGCCATTAAATGGTATAATTAAATTACAATTATTTTATGATCTTGTATTTACAACCATACAAAGGATGGAATTTACTTGTATTAACTTTAAACAAACAGTATAATAAAATATGCAGTTCATAAGTTTTAACCAAAAGTTCAATCCTTTAACTCATGGTAAATTATATTAGTAAAATATGATTTAGTTTTGTTAAGAATGATTTTTATTAATTAATTTATAGTTTAGGGTAAGACATTGTTGTGTATAGGAGTATGTTAAGCCACACATCAAAATCAAATACAAACATTAAATATAGAAATCTTGATTTAAAAATAATAAACCTATGTAATAATACATTTGCATTCGATATTTCGATAATAATATTTTTAATACACTTCAATGTGATAATGTTCCTTTGCTAGATAGACCTTATAAGATGGTATTCATTTCATTATTAGTTAAAAAAATATCTAAGTATTCGACTCCATTCTTTTGGCAAAATTTTTCAACAGAAATTTTAAATCCTGTTAGTAAAAGACAAAAATTAACTAAACAAATAATTTTTATGAACCAGTAGTAGGTATAAAATATTATATGTAGTATAGACTATTGGTACCAGTTTTATTTTAAATATTTGTATTATTATTAAATTAATTAATATACTAGTTTTGTTTTATTTACTTGAAATATTTTATATTTATTACTATAATATGTAGCACTAGTATAGATACAAATTTTGTTTTATTAATTTTAAATATTTTATGATTATTATTATACAAGGTAGTATACCAGTTTTGTTTTATTGGTTTTAAATATAGTTTTTCAAAAATAATAAATGAATGTAAAATTTTTAATTAATTAATTCAGATTGTTTTTAAAAATATTTTACAATAGAACAAATTTTTATAAAATAATGTAATATTCACATGCACTATTACATAATTTACATAACTGTTGAATAAGCTAAAAGTTGATAATATGTATTTAAGACTTATGTAAGTAAGTTAAGTTATTAACATCATGAACTAACTATACAACTTTAAAGTTTAAACTTATAATTTATAATATTAATCATATTATGACAAATTAAATAACAATAATATCTTTATCAGTATTATGAAAATGTAAACATTCACCTCTTAGATAAGAGAATTTCGGCCATTTTGTTGGCTTCAAAAACATTTCCAAGTTATCTATCTAGTATTTTTATATATCTGTGAAATTTACTACCACTATAGTATTGTATTCTCTTTGTTGTTATAATTGACTGGTAGATGGCGTAATCGTCAACAATCATTTATTTTTTTCATAATATGGTGTAATTAAATAATAGAAACACAACGTCAAAATTAAAAAAATCAAAAAAAAAAAGGTGGGCAAGTGGGTGTCGCTCTGCTGTACAGTAGGTTACAAGTGGGCAGTGGCGTAAATTGGGTCCAATTTCTGGTGGTGCAGAGGCATATTCTTAACCTATAATTTCCAACACAAAAATAATCCAACTTTCTAAGTAAAATCCTTCCTAACAAAAAAAAACTATATATTTATCCATACATTTTGTCAACATTTGAACTTCAAATGCTTATAAAAAAAAATTGTGGCTATGTATTTTTAATATTTTTCAACGCTACTGTAACAATATATCAGGAGCCTTCCATTAAATTTTCACGCTTTTTACCCAACAAATAAAATTTTATTGATATTTATAGAAAAAAAAACTAAAAAAATTAAAAAATGACAATGTCCGGAAACAGCTCAAAGAGAGTTAAAATATTTTCAAAACTTTGTGGTGTATAGAAAATTAAAATATAAATATATAAATTTTCATGTATTTACAGTTATTTGTTTGAATAACAACAAATTAACAAAATCGCTACATGAGAAATCTAGTGAATATCCAATCTTGTAAAAATATGATTTTCAAATGCTCATAAAAATTTAATTTGATTTACTTGTGGACATTTTTTTTTTTTGATAAAGGCGTATACAAACTTATGAATAATCTTGTATTACATTTTAAAATCTTAGATTTGAAAAGAAACATTTTTATGATTTTTTCAACTCAAATTATATTGTTAATTTTCGTGATTTTTCTGTATTTTGTCAAGATTTGAACTTTAAATGCTTATAAAAAAAACTGTGCCTAAGGATTTTTAATAATTTTCTAATGTCATCGTAACAATATAGTTGGAGCCTTTTATTAAATTTCCAAGCTTTTTTACCCAACCAGTGAATATTTCAATTATATATGTAAATGTTCATTTGTTTGGTCAAAAACCAAAATCGATTTTGTCGAAAACCGATTTCGGGTAAAAATTCCTGTTTTTCCTTAATTTTTATGTTGTTTTTCCTGGTGCTTATGAAACCTGAAGAGAATTTTAAAATTTGATTCAATACGACGTCTAGCTATCATCTGACATTTGACTTTTGAGAATTGAATGAACATTGATCCAGTGATAACACACTATTTTGGCGGTAGAATGTTGATAGCAATATAATTTTACCATATTATACCACAGAACAATTATACGTCTATTCTGTGCACGATTAAAGATATAATATCTTTAATCGTGATTCTGTGATACTGCCATAATAAAATACAAAATTCTGTGGATAGTGGTTACCATAGATAATAATCTAACTATTTATGGGGGTTGTACGATATTTTAGAATATAGATAGGCCAGATAGGGTAATAATTTAAATGATAATGTCTAATACATGCACTAAAATAACTATTTTGTACCTCTTTATATATTATATATTTCAATGATTTTCTGGTGGTGCAAAAACATACCTTTGCACCACCACATTTTAGATGTGGTGGTGCAAGTGCTGCATTTGCACCACCCAGTTTACGCCACTGCAAGTGGGTCATTGTATAATGTATGGTATTAAATTTGAATACAATGATATAATATCATTGTATAAGAAAAACGATTCTGAGCGGAGACGGTATGTCCTTCTAGGTAAAAGACATATTATATACATATCTATGGTATTAAAAAAAATTGACCTATAATGAATTCCAAATTAATCATATCACAATATCCATTAGGTACTTATAACGCGTTATACACCAACAACAAACCCTGATACTATCATAGATATATATAGTAGATTACTTTAGAAATTTCAAGTACCCACGAATAATATTATACAATCACAACAAAATAACTAAAATCGTAATTCTTGGTTTAAATATGAAATTTTGTCTAAACTTGAAATTAAAATGTCTGTAAAAAATAAGTGTGTTTATATATTTTTTAGATTTTTTGGTTACAGTATGAATTATTTAAGAGAATCTTTGTTTTAAATTTACAACTCTTAGTTATAAAAACTGAACATTTTATAATTTTTTAATTCCAACGATTGATAATTTTCGAGATTTTGATAAATTTTGTCAAAATTCGATGTTTAAATGCTTATAAAAAAAAATCGTACCTATGTATTTTTTAAATTATTCAACTGATATTGTAACAATATATAAGAAAGCTTGTACTCAATTTTCAGACTTTTTGGCCCACCAAATAAAATTTTATTGACAATTATAAAAAAAAAACTAAAAAAATTGAAAACTAAAAATGTCCGTAAACAGCTCAAAAAGAGTCAAAATATTTTCAAAATTGTATGGTGTATAGGAAATGCTAATATAAACATTCAGTGAAATTTTCATGTATCTAAAGTAATACGTTTTTGAATTACAACAAAATATGGAAATCGCCACATGAGAAATCGAGTGAATATCCAATGTTGTAAAAATTTGAATTTCAAACACTCATAAAAATTTAACTTGACTGTCCGGTAGAGATTTTTTTATTGATAAAGGTAGATAATCTTATAAGGAATCTTGTGTTTCATTTTCAAATCTTAGATTTAAAAAGAAAAATTTTTACGAATTCTTAACTCAAAATAATTTGCTAATTTTCGTGATTTTTCCATATTTTGTCAATTTTTGAACTTTAAATGCTTATAAAAAAAAATTGTGACTAAGGATTTTTAATATTTTTCATCTGCCTTTGAAACAACATATTAGGAGCCTTCTATTAAATTTTCAAGCTTTCGCAACCAACAAATAAAATTTTATTGATATTTCTAGAAAAAAAACTAAAAAAAAATGAAAAATGAAAATGTCCCTAAACAGTTCCAAATAAATCAAAATATTTTGAAAATGTTATCGTGTATAGAAAATGCAAATATAAACAACCAGTGAAAATTTCATGTATCTACGGTCATTTGTTTTAAAGTTACACCAAAAACCAAATTCGATTTTTTGGAAAATCGATTTTGCGTAAAAATTCCCGTTTTTCCTTAATTTTTATGTTGTTTTTTCCCGGCGCTTGTGAAAACTACTGGAAAATGTTTACTTTTGACCCCCCAAAGTACCAACTAGATTCACTTTCCTATCAGAAAAGGTACTATTGAAGAAAATCGAAGCACTTTTACTGTCCCAAAACGTGATGACAGACACAAAAATATAAAAATATAAAAATATAAAAAAAAACATACATCATTGTAAAACCAATACATTCATCGCTCCGCTCAGAATCTAAAATTCTTGTGCTTCAAAGGGTTAATGTTAGTTTTTTTTAAAATTATGTTATAGTAAGATATACCGTGTGTCCCAAAAATCAGGGGCCACTTTACTACTCATTACCATGTAAATATTTTTCAATTCTGTTAGCGGGACATTAAACTAGACTAATGGATCGTAAATTTCTTTGACTCACAATGTTTTTAACTCATGTATCTTGCGCATGCGCAATAAAACTTACATTTTTTTAAATGGCAACCCGTAATTTTAATATCATATTCGGGTCCATCGATTTTTTTCAAGCCATTTTGATGTATCAACTTATGTCCTAAACCCAAAATTGACTAAACTAGAGCTAAGTAGAATTTAAATAATTTAAAAATTCAATTTAATTATTTTTTTTTTCTAACTGTACGTACTTATTTTTTTCTTAGTTTATTGAATAGTTTATGTCTGTAATTTCTGTAAATTAAATTGTAAATAAAAATGTATAGTAATGGTGAAAAAAATAAAATAGAAATGTTGTTTCTTGAAAATACATGTTTAAACCATGTTATTTTATAATGCGTAATAATAAAATAAGATAATAATTCATAAATAGTAAATAATTAGGTAATTCTTTTAATAATAATAATTTTGATTGTTTGTTTGTTTGTTTCACGGTGTTTAGAAGAAAAAATAAGTACGTACAGTTAGAAAAAAAAATTAATTAAATTGAATTTTTAAATTATTTAAATTCTACTTAGCTCTAGATTAGTCAATTTTGGGTTTAGGACATAAGTTGATACACCAAAATGCCTTGAGAAAAATTGATTTTATATGATTATAAAATTACGGGTTGCCATTTAAAAAAATGTAAGTTTTATTGCGCATGCGCAAGATACATGAGTTAAAAACATTGTGAGTCAAAGAAATTTACGATCCATTAGTCTAGTTTAATGTGCCGCAAACAGAATTGAAAAATATTTACATGGTAATGAGTAGTAAAGTGGCCCCTGATTTTTGGGACACACGGTATATTAAAAAAAAAATATCTAATAAAGAAAGTTAAATTAAAATGATAAATATTATACTAAATATATCCAAAAATATTTGTTATAAAAAAAATGCTACAAATTTGTTCCCATTTGAAAATATATACTACAAGGGCAAGAAACATTGTATTTTAACAACAAATTAATTCAAGCAGATATTATATTTAAATAATTTTATGAACTTCATATTACCTGTTAATGAACACGTTGCATTCATGGGCAAGGATTTTGCCAACTTTGTCTTTCATTTTTTCTTTTTCTGCTAATTCAAGTTCTGCAACCTTTGCCATAGAATCAACTTTGATACGAGATCCAAAAACTTTTATTTTGTCGGTATCCATAGGTGTATTAGCTATTAATATACGAGCATTTTCTAAATGTTTTGGTTGAAATTGGCCGATCTTTTTGTCAAGAAGAAAACCTATTTTAATAAAAGCAAAAGGTAATTTAGGTATGTATTCTTTTAGAGTTAATTTAAAATGTGTTTTACCTTCATCCAAGAACGAATCTTCCAAACAACCACCTTTTAACTTTATAATTTGTATAGCTGATAAGTTTCCAGATCCTTTTAACCTCAAAATTGCATCTACTGATAGTTTGGCAAAATGTTCTTTATGTTGAGACAAGATCTTAGAACTTAATGTTGTACGAGCAATATTTAATAAATCTTCTCGAAATTCAGCTTCATTTTTGCTATGATTTAATGAAGCCATCTGTAAAGCTTCATGCGCTATCTGTGTTGCCTTTCTCCACCCAGCAATAATGATCTGTGGATGAATTTTTTGATCTACTAATTTTTCTGCTTCACGTAATAATTCTGCAGCTATATAATTAAAAAAAAAAAAGTATTTAATATTGTCCATCTAAGTAGGTTCTTTATTATTAAATATTTTATTAAGTAGTGTAGTATGCTATAGATGACTAAAAATAAATATAATTATATTATAATTTAATATACATTTTAGCATGTAGATTATTAACATAGGCAGGGTCCAAGAAGCAAAATGTGCTAGGGTAAGTAATATTATGGTATTAACGTCTTCGCCGCAGTGCATAGACAGTTCAGCTGTTGTCATAGGGTTTGGCAAGAGTGTGGGACAGTCATACGGATATCAGTGAGATATTTAAAGTAAAATAGTAAACATTTTTCCGATCATAAATTGTGATAATCTTGTGTTCGACCTTTAAAGACTGAGCTGTGCTGGGGTATAAATATCATAGAATTTATGGGGTCATAAGAATAAATGTATGCCAGCATAACGTAAAGTGCTGGTAAAGTTGAATTTTAGATAGCCATGAATTTAGAAAATTGTAGAATAAGATGTTGTAGGTTTTAGTCATAATTTAAGATAATATCCCTTAAAGATATATCTTTAATTATGATTTTAGTGCATGTTACTTAATGCAAGTGATTGGTACCTACCAATTATTTATTGTATAATCGTATTATAGGTACAATTGGATGGTATTTAAATTTTTTTTTCAAAACACTTATTATTGTGCAATCGATATGCAATTGATATTATTTATCACTGTTAAGGACTTAATCTATCTTAATAGGTTTTTAATTTAGTTGATCATTCATTTACACATGATGAAAATTTTTCCAAGTTCAAATCACAATGACAAAAATATATTTATAAAAATATAGCAGCATTTATGTTAAAACAGATTCAAGATTCTATTAAAATGTACAATATATTGTATAAAATTGACCAAAACATTATGATGTACCTAAGTGAAATTACCTATGTATCTTAAATTGGCTATATATACTAAGGAATAAGGATTTGTTTGTTTAATATTTTATATTAAATTGTTTGTGTCTGAACTTATTGTACACTTTATTATCATTACATGTACCTACCTACCTATTTAATAGGTATTTAATATTGTTGATTTTATAATTGAGTGGATAGCCCACTAAATACAGTAACATTCAGCGACCAAATATTTCATGTGGGCACAACGCCTTGCTGTAATCACATACATTCAAAGTCATGGCAGCTCCACTTTGCGAATGGATGAAATTACAGCACTACATAAATCAGAATGCAATACAATGTCATGTTTAAAGGTTTCTACTCGGGTTTTTATTGCCATTCAACCAAGATATTATTCTTCGTATCATGCTCCGTAACAGGTAAATTGTATCCATTGGATTCTAACAAGTTTATTTAATTGTTATTTGTGTAGGCAAGGATGTTCTTTGACATTGACTAGTATAGTAATTTAAATTTTACTAATTAGGTATGTTAATAAATAAAAGAATAGATATTAATTAGGTGTTATTAATTATTATACGTGGGTACCTAGTTATAAAGATAAAAGTCAAAATACAGTTTTGATAGGTACCTAGCTATATTTACCTATTTTCACAACTTATGAATATTTATTAATTATAGTTGCACACCTAATTAGTAATTATACTTAACACAACTAATTACAGATAAATAATACAAATTTACCTAACACAGTGACTGATGTAGTACCATCACCAACTTCACCATCTTGAACCATCGACATGTCGACCAATATTTTAGCTGCTGGGTTATCAACTCCAATATTTTTTAATATTGTCGCACCGTCATTAGTCACTTCAACTTTAGAATCCATACCACCACGACCCACAGAAATTAGTATCTTGTCCATGCCTTTTGGACCAAGTGTGCTTTTGACCAAATCGCCAATGGCAATAGCACCGATGAAACTAGACAGACGTGCATTTTCCCCTCGGTCTTCTTCAGCTTCGCGTTTCAAAATGCGTACGGGATTCAACGAAACCTGTAAATAGTGAAATCACAGAAATGTAACAAGAATAACCAATGAATTTGCAAACATCACAAACACTGTTTAGAATACTTTCCGCCAAAGTCAGGCGGATAGTTTTTACACATCATTATTTCATTTAGCTTACCATATTTGTATTTAATTTATTACGTTCTGTGCATCAATAACGAAAACAAAATGAATGCAAATCGGATAGTGAAAACTGAAAACACAAACACGATAGTTAGTTGAGTACTTGAATAGTGTGGTTTGAGGAACAACGGAACAAAAAATCGTCAATCGTTGTCCAGTCCAGTGAACACAACAAAATACAAAAACACAAGCCGACGAAAAATCAGTACAGACGGTAAATTTAAAAATTCTGAAAATGAATACGCTGTTGTCGTGGTATTCCGTACGTTCTTATCGTTTGTTACTGATAAAATTTACGATTGTGTTATCATATTGTCATTATCAAATAACAATATTCAATACACATCCCGCCGTTTCGTGAGTTTAGAGCTAATGAGCTTTGTAACTTACGACCGTTCTAAAGTAAATTAAGCTTACTAAAGTTACGTTTCTCAATAACATCATTTTTACAAATTACCTCAACAACTATAGAACGAAATAGTAAGAGTACTATTCGTAGAATACATCATAAAGCAACAATTTTTTTTTCGTGTGCAACTGCTTAATCTAAAAGTCAAAGGACTAAACGAATATTTGATATGGAGATTCAAAATATTATCGATTTGATGTCCACAATAATTACCTCGAAGAACGGTTCTGGTGAGATTTTTTTGTTAAATATCCTTACTTCATTTATTGTTTATTTTATAATAATATCATATCTTCAGTAAATATGCACCTAGTATAATATATTAATATGTTAGTGAAATTATTCCAAATTTATCTAATTATGAAATGCAACAGTAATGTAAATAGTCAAAATATTAAAATAATTTATAACTTTGAAATCTAAATAATAATAAACAGTTTTAAATAAATGGGGATCTTAAAATGTTATCAATATTTTTTATAAAGTATGATGTTATTACTTTAATTGCAATTGTTTGTGTAAATTAAGAACATAGTTTTACTCCCTCTTAAATCATATTATAATATTTACAGTAAAACCTCTCTATAACGGACCCTCTATTAGACGGAATCCTCCTTATAAAGGAAAATGTCAATAATTTTCTATTAATCTTTCAATAGTTTTTCTACCTCCCTATAACGAAAAACTCTTTATAACGGAAAAAAATTGAGTCCCAAGCGGTTCCGTTATAGAGAGGTTTTACTGTAGTAGGATACTACTATACCGGTCAACACCGTTTTTAAAATTTTTCTTTTTTAGAATCTACGTATTTTATTAAATCGAGGACGATGATGCAATCAGAAGTAGTTTTGTTCTTATTATTTAATACTATTAAATACTATTAAATAATTACTATTATTGTACATTTCTATTTACCTCTTTCAAAGCTAACAAATAATATATGTTTTAAAATTAATTTTTCTAGGTACTTATACATTAATAAGTGACAAAATCCATCAAAGTAATAAACACTATAGTATATAATTTAGTTTTGGGTTGGCAAAAAATTAAGTAGGCTAGTGTTGTATAAACAAATCAATTTTATTTTTAACTTAATAAAAAGTTAACAAAAAGTGTGTACCAAAATGTGTATTAACTTTTAACTTTACTGAGTTACCTAGCCTATAGTTATATTAACTTTTTGTTACTGGTGCAGATTAACTTAACTTAACTGAGTTAAAAAAAATCATTACCTTGCCCAGTCTTGATAATATATTATTAAATGTATAAATAATCATAATATGTTGTGTTATTATTTTATTTATGGTCTGTAAATATTTTAGGTGAAACATTTTATGATAGCAACTTAAAAAGGATTTTGCATCTTAATACATCTGATAATTTCAATGAATACAAAAATCAAAGTCTTCGGTAATGTATTTATTTAAATTTAAATTTAAATGTATTATAATATGATGAAACATTATTATTTTCAGATTTTCTTATGTTAAGAAGACAATTGAACTATTGTCTTGTTTAAAAGAATGTCTGTTAAAGCATTCTGATGATTCTACTGATATAATTTTAAGTGCTATTAATTGTGCTACAGTATCAAGATGCATACATTATGTCGTCACTCATGGTTTTATTCCATGTCTTATACCAAGTATATGGAAATCATTTGAGAATAACCAAAAATATGAACAAACCATCAAAAATATTTCACCTGACACGGTAATGACAACTATTTAATATAAACTATGTGATATGTATTTGAATTACAAAGTTACAAATTGAGTAGTCCACAAATACTACTATGTACCTACCTAATATATTTATTTATTAGTGATAAACACTTTTAATTTTTTTCATAAACTATTATCACTAAAGCTGAGATTTAAATGCTCTAAAAATTAAAAAAATGCACCAATAAATGTAATAATTTCGATATAAATTCTGATATAATTTTGGTTTAAATGACAATATACATTTTAAATGATTGTAAAAAAATGTCACGAATAGAACTGATCGTTTTGGACTACTCTAATCTGGAAATACAATTATTTCCATAAATTATTGTTTTTTTTTTTTTTTTTATAGGTTTAGATTTTATTTTTATTGATTTGTTTATAATCATAGTTTGTTTAATTTATATAAAAATTGTTTAAAAGCATGTAAAAACTTAAAATAAAATTTCAAATTCAAAAAATGAAAAAAAAATGCCCCAAAAATTATAAAATTGTCTAAAAAATAAAAAGTGGCCTTCAAATTTAAAATTTTGAAAAAATACACGTGGAACTTCTTATTCTGATTAAAAAATACATGATAAGTGTATGTTATAAAACGAGCATTGTGTTGCTATATTTGGAAAACAATGCAAAGTATATCGAAATCCCAGCCTTAATATTATAACCATCACAATATTTAAAAAAATATATATTTACAAATGTATTATTATTAATTACAAAGAAACAATTAATATTTTTTCTTATATATCAATCTTTTCATGAAATTATATTATCTGCAATTTGACATCATTTAATTTTTTCACACTGTGGTCATTCACTTAGTTAAATGAAACATTTACCACACACAATATTATTATTATTATTTATTCATGTCATGTTTAATAACATACAATATAAGAATTTAAGTTGTATCTATTTAAAGATAAGTATGGTAAGTTCTACACACTAATATTTAATTTTTTAAGTCATTCTAAATGAAGAAAAATACTTAGGTATAAAAAAGAATAAAAGATAACAAATTGTCATAACTAATTCTCCTACATAAGTTAATAAAAATAAAAACAAATTACTATATGCCTACTTAGATTTTATTCTTTTATGCTTATATATACATAAGATGTATTTTACCCCAAGTTAGAGGGTATCCACACTGGTGGGCCTCCCTCCTCACGCTATTCATGTTTTTTACCTTCTTTGTCATCAAATTTACTTATTGTTTTATATAAAGATATCAGATTGTATATACTTCTTTTTATCTAATAAAAAAAAAAGATGTATTTACATTTGTCTATGTAGATTTAATATGAATTAATAGCTAAGAGAACTTCGGACCCGCTTATTTATCTTACTTTTACTAAAGCATAACATACGAGAATTTACATTCAGCAGTTCCAATTTTTAATTGTTACATTAATTAATATTAGAGTGAAATTACCTATTATCAAGCTTAATGGTATGAATATTCTCTTGTTAGTTTTTTTTTAGTATTCAGTAAAACCTCAATTATCAGAGCCTTCACTGATAATCATAAAGATGGTTAAAAGAGAATATATTTACTAATATATTTATTTATAGTTAAAAAATCTGTTAAATTTTTTTATTTGACCATACCACGTGACCATACCTGACTCATCAATACAAAGAAACATCTGAGTAGTGGGGATTAATCAAGAAAGATAGATCATCGAGGTTCTACTACATTTAAATTTTTAATCGAGCTATGAGCTTTTTAAATTTTAATATTTTATATACACATAAATTGTAAAAACAACAAAAGAATACAGATAATATTCTGTATTTTGAAATTTAATGTAGGTGAAGTCACTCTAATATTATAGCTAATAACTTGAGGCTACATTTTGTAAGTTCTAAATTCTATAAATGGTTAAATAAGATATATTTGTGCAATAAAAGTATAGGGAATTACTCTCTTAAACCCTAAAATATGCTTTTACAAAAAAAAAAATGGACTAGTTATATTATGATTTAAGTGTTACAACTTAAAGCTTAGATTTAGATAACAGAACCACATGAATAACATTTTAAACAAATTTTTTTGTTCTAAGTATAAAGAAAGCTGCTCAAATTTGCTATATTTGTTTAGACATGTGGGTGTGACACCCTCTTAAATACTAAAATTATTTTGTAATACTCTGTATAACTTAACTGGTCTTTAAATAAGTAGGACAACTATAATATGTGCATAAATTAATCTTGTATGGTAATAATATGTCATAAATAAATAGCAGTACTGTATACTTTAAATAAATAATAATAATAATAATCGTATGTGGTAGGTAAATGTTTTATTTCACTATGTGAATGAACACTACGGACATTTTTTTTTTTAATATAATATTTTTAATAAAATATTTATAAAGTATTTTCAAAGTATTTTCAAAGAGTAAAAACCCGTTTCTATTTCATGAAAATATCAATTTAAAAATTGTCTTTCAATATACATTTTTCACTTTTACTAGGTAGAAATAATTTTAGTTAGAAGTATAAATAATAAAAGATATTTTTTTTCATTTAAATACATTTTAAATAGGTACTTATGCTTGAACTAATATTAGATGAAAATTATTATTATCAAATAGTTTACTTGTTGTTTATTTCAGACATATGAAGAACTAAAATTTAATGTGAATTCGTTTTTTGATCTGATAAAAGAGCCTACATTAAAAAGACTTATATTAGTGAAACATACAAATGTTTTATTAGCAGGAGTATGTCAATTATGTTTATTACCCATTGCAAAACCCGGTACAGGAATTGCAACAAAAAGTGCTATAGATGAATTAAAGTATGAGCAACTGATGAACGAACAGAAAACATTTAAAAATATTCTCAAAAACCTAA